AAATTAAAGAAGAATCTAATTTCAAAAATAAAAGAGAATAAAGCAAAGATTATTAATATTCTTCATGGCGGAAGAGGAACTAGTGCTTATCTCCACAAAGAAACTAAAGAACTGCAAGAAAAATTATCAGATTATAAAAAATTAGAACAGTATTTACCAAAAGCAAGAATTGCATTAACTCAAATACTAAATACTAAAAAGTCTTTCGCAGATTATAGTAGGCAAAGCAATCCTTACTGTAGCCCACCCTATATATCTTTTATACTGAAAGACTTGTTAGAACAAAGAAAGTTCCTTTACGAAGAAGACAACAATAAAATTTGTGAAGGTGCCTATAAGATTTTAAATAGCATGAAAGAAGACAATTACCTTGGCGCGTTTGTTGCTAACCTATCTTTAATTGAATTGGAAAAAAATATTGCTGAAATTCAAAAGTCAACTCAGAGATTATCGCATTCCACATTTAATTAAAAATAATAAATAGTTTTGGCTTTTTTTTATCTAGAAAATCTTGTCTGAATTTTTTATATGGCATTATTAATTGGTCAATTGAACTAATTCTAATTGTTCTACCTGATGTTCTTGAATATTATAGATTGAGCAACTTTAAATATATGTATTAAAACATGTGGGTTATAAATTTTGTCAGTTCTTACCGTTATAATGATTTTTATCTTTCATTATAATCACTTTATTTGAATTGTTTTTTTTTGAATTTCAGAATTACTCTTTTATCTTTTCGTTTTATTTTTTAATAACTACCGGATTATTTGCACTTATATTTTTACAAGTCTTTTTTGCTTATACTTATTTAAAAATATTTAAGAAATACATAGTTTATATATTATTATTAACACCTATAAGAAATTGTTTTGTGTTTGTTTTGCGATTTTTTCTTAATTTACAAGTGTTGATATGCATTGATTCGTTATTTTGTGATTTTGTGTTGCCTCGTGAGACGCCACATTGTCTATTTTACCAAAAAGAAGTCGCTCGTAAAAAAATTTTTAATATTATCATTAAAAGTTACGTGCATAACGTTTATTATGTTACGTAATGCACATAATGCACAATTTAGATCTGTCAAGTTCCTCCAAATGTTTTTATCGAACTCAAGTTGTATTTATATAAAAAAATATTGGAGCTTAGTATTAAGATTAATATAGGATCTGCTAAATAATTGTTATTTACAGCTTAAAAATCTACGTTATCGTGAACTTGTAGATATATCGTGGTCAGTTTGTACTATCCAATCATGTTCTTGTAATTATATCAAAGTAAGATAAAATGTATTTTGAGAATATTCGTAAAATATTTTCCAAACTTAACAAAAACAATATACCAGGAACGGAGTTTACAGAAGTGAAACGAAGGATATGGTTTACAGCTATGTTCGATTGGGGTGTGCGCAAATCGACGAAATTTTGAAATTACTGCGCAGGCTGCGCAGCCTGCATAGCCCGATCCTAGTGATCCGAATCGTTTAGTTGAAAATCAACTAGTTGACAACTTTCCAACTAATCGATTTAGAAAATTTAAATCAACTACTGTAATTCAATTCCGAGATATTCCGTCTAGTCGGGCTAATCCGTATTGATTATTTGATTGGCTAATCATCGAATTTAGTGACATATATAAAAAATCGATTAGTTGCAACTATAGTTGACAACTAATCGATTGGCAAAATTTTTACCAACTAGGAACACTAGAGTAGGGGAATCAGAGAGATACGGAAAGTAAAATTTTTCTTTAAAAGTAAGTTTTTTTTTTTTATAGTTATCTATCTATCTATACTATCTAATTCAGAGTTTTACATTTTAGCAGTGATTGAATGACATCACGACATGGCAAAACATGCTAAAATTCTGTTGAACCTGTAATGCAGATCACATTACATACTTCGATCATCATTTGCATTGTTGTCTCTTAGACCAGACTCGATCCGGGCTTTGATACTAAATACGTCCGCTATTTATACTAATACTTGCATGAATACCGGAATAACCGGTAAAATTTTGATTCACAAAATAGTATTAGTATGCGAAGGTGCAACATTTGAAATTCTTGGTATGCATTCACACACTTGCTCCGCCACTTCTATTATCCAATAATCTGCAAAATTTTGCGGCCAAACATCAATTAACCATCCGAGATTTTCAATATCACTCCGTTCCTGGTACTTCGTTAAATTTTCAGTTCCTGGTATTCTCAAGTCGTCATTGGCTAACTGAGTTTTAATTTGAATAACATGACTACGACATAACACAAACAAATAAAAAAAGGAAATAAATCTATGATTAAAGAGTTTGCCTGATAATATATTAATAAACTTAACCAAAATTCTCAGTAGAGCTATGGAAAAATAGACTAGAGCAGGTGAAATTTTCTAAATACCAACTGAAAATGATTAGTCTAAGGGTGTTCTCAAATATATTTATATAAAATTTTTGATGACAAATTGAATATGCAAATTATGATGTAATCAAACTTTTCTCAAACGTTATTCTTTATTATAACCAATAAAAATAAAAATTACAATTGATACTTGAGAAGTTCATTATTAAGAAATGACAAACTTACTTAACGTTTTTTTACTAGTAAAAATATTCTATTCACGTAATAAACTATATCAAATTCTGTGTATTATTTAAATATTCATCACAATGGCAAACATACTTTTCCTATCTAAAATATTTTCCGTCAAGTAAAATTTATTCATCGACACCTGTAGAACGCCCTAAATTAAGTAGCTCGTCGTGCCGACATATAGGCGGGGTTTGCCCGTTTGTTTTGATTAGAACAAGAGGAATTACTTGGCGACAGAACACTGGATGGATCACAATTAAGGTTAAGGTTACTAATCTTCTTAATGAACGATTTAGTGCTTCCATCTTCTTCGATAATGATTCCTAAATCATCAGTAATATTACGGACAACAGCTCCACAGCCATCAATAATTTCAAATGCGTATTTTGAATTAGGATCAAATCCTTTATGAAAAAGTCCACTAATAAATGTGCGACCGCATGGGTCTTGAAAAAAATTTACTAGGCCAATGATCCCATCATTAAATGTAGCAGTGGCAACAACAGATGAACATTGTTCATTGCCTTTAAGTTTAATCGGACTACCACTTTCTTTGCATGGAGATTTATTGAGAATATCAACCATTGTGCCTGTGGGAACTGATACAAGTGTTACTATCAAGGCTTTTCCGTCTAACGAATTAGTCAAAACGACACTTAAAAAGATGTGAAACAAGAAGATCAAATATATGATTTTCTTAATCATGGTTTTGAAGTCAAAACTTGAAAATTTGAAATAAAACGTTAGGATGCTAAACCTTTTTCTTATAAATGATAAAATCTAATGTTAGGGTAAAGCGTTTAAAACCAAACTTGACATTTATAAATGCATCCTTAATTCAAATGTTTCAAATGCTGTATTCTCCATTCGCAAATTTCTCATCTATTGTACATGAATGTTTTCAATTAACAAATTCCAAATCATATGCCGTTATTCATCTACAAAAAAGTAACCATCAATTAATATTGAATATTCTACAGTCAGATCCCTCTAAATGCAACCTCCCTAAATGCACGCTCTATGAAAACTTCCTAAACAAGGTTGGTATGAATGGAATTCGGACGATGTCCAGTGTCCGAATTGTCCGATCAAAAGCAATGGACATAGGATCGGACATAGGATAACTTTATCGTCATATAATTGGCCATTTAATCTAACACGTGACAACCAACCAATAAAATTGCATTGTGTGCAATAGGTCAATTGCAATTGTAACAATCTTGACCTCTGCTTAGTTTTATACTATAACTACTTACATTTTATTTATGTTGCACGTCGAGATCGATTCCAAATTAATGTATTGCAACTGAATTTGTTAGAGAAATCAATTCCACATAATAAGTGGATTTAAAGTTAACACCAACTCAATTAACGTTAGAGTGTGGGGATGCATTGATTGATAAATATATTTGATTATGGTAATTAAAATTTGAAGTTTCAGGCAAATTTTAGCTTAAATCGCCATGATTCATTTGTCAGATCACTTTATATTGTAAATTTTTTTAGACAAAATGACCGAATTGTAAATATAAATCTCTTGATGCTAAATCTGATAACAGATGCGTAAAGCTTCTATTACAAGAAAAATTATAATTTTTAAGATCTATTAAATACAATCTTTAGAATTAATGATAACAATAGTGAAAGTATTAATTAGTATTAGATATATTACTGGACATTAGACAATTGTTCAAATTGTTCTGTGCAATTTTATTAGATATTGTTCAGTAGCAACTATAACTGCATCTCATTAGACACTGGATATTATATAGAACAATTCGGAAATGTCTGATATTTAATAAAACTATCAGACATACCATTTATATAATTCTGCTATTAGATATATTTTGATAAGCTCTACAACTTTCATTAAAACCCTAAAAGTAATTTACTTAGTAAAAAAAAGTTTTAGATTAGAGCACTTTATATTTGGCTTAATAGTAAAATTTATTTATAAAAATTTACAAATCTTTTCTAAATGACAAATGAATTGTTTATTAAATATAATAATTAGTATATATTTAATATACTTTATAAAAATATATATATATTTTTTTAATGTTAAGGTGACCACTTTGGGGTTTGGCTTGTTTTATTAA